TCAACAAATCAATGGCAGCTTACCTGTGGTCTGTCTAAGGCTGCTGCCCGGTCAGCACTGGAGACAGAATTGGTTTCTCCATTGTGGGTTGTGAGCTAAATAAACCATTGTGTAACTACAACCACCACTACTATTTTGGTTTAAAAAGAAAACACAGACACACACTCAGCCAGCTTAGCAGATTTACTGACACACACACACACACACACACACACACACAGTGGCACGATCCACACCATCGGCAGCTGTCCCTAAACAAGTTAATATAGCAGGCTGTTTATGAGGGGGGCTGAAATCCCAACCCGACACGAACACCCGTCTGGCACCGCCTTAATGAAATGTTGGGCCGGGGTGAAGGTAAGTTCAGTGCAGCCCTTCACAACGCGGATGCTCATATTTATTAGTAACGCGCTTCAGAACAGCACAGGCGAGAGGGGGTTTGGACGTGGACTGCAACCAGCTTTTAAACTATTAACACATCAAAATCCAGTCATTTATAGGAGGAATTTATTGATCTGCAAGGGCTTATTTGAACACAGTTCACTTGGTGTTCCCGGGAGGTTTGACTTGTGTTACTTACATGAAGCACGGATCATCCATCATCATCATCATCTGACCTTTGTGCATCACTTTGCAGGGAAAGAACCAGCACAAGATTACCAATTAGATACTGATAATATTAATGAAATGTAGATTAATCTACTAATTTTCTCTATTAATGTTTTGGTCTGTATGTCAGAATCCTATTTTTGAGCCCATTATCAAACGGTTTGCTCGGCTGCTCCAAAACACTTCAACAGTTTCACACCGGACATCTTTGCTTCAAAATACAATCCATCCATTATCCAAAAAAACACCAATAAAATAGTAGTTAGTAGTTAAAATGATGACGACCCCTATGCATTCAAAAACGTGATCCTTCCCTATGCGGATGCTGTATCTTTTTAGGGAAATAACCTCCGTTCTTTCTATATTTTAAGCTGCAGACAGACACAAAGCAGACATGCCACAGACACTTGCACTCCCTGCACCCGTCTCCTGACCAGACATGGTTGTGTGTTGGACCACAACACCTGTCAAATGATTCCTGGAGTCAGGTTCACTGACTGACACAACCGAAGACGGTGCCCCCACCCTATTCCACAGGGACGGGGGGAACTGCCATAGCTTCTCGCCCCTTACAACACAAGCTTACAACGACGTGAATGCAAACCAGGAGTCCAGAGGCATTCAATGCAACTAAACGCATCTTTATTGGTCTGGGTTTAAGTATGTAGACGGTTACAAACACGACATCCGCTCACTCTCACATTGGACTTTGACGCAGACTGCCATGTTATTTAAGTAATTAAAAATAATGGTATTAAATTAGAAACCCTCACCACTATCATGGAACAAATTGATTATTCCGGATGGAAAAAACAATAATCTTCAGGTCACGATTCATTTAAAGAAGCTATATTTTCCTCCTTTGCCGTGTTATTTTACCAGATGATAGAAAAGACAGCTGTTTACAGATACTGTACATTGGTGTACAGTTTAGAACTGCAGTGCAGAGATATTACACAACGCTAATATTGCTAATAACAATGTATTCTAAAAACCTCCAGTATCACTCTTGGGTTTAATACATCATGGTTTCATTGACGTACACAGAGTGAAGCTCAACCTCGGCTCTCTTTAGTCCTTTGCTTTGCCTCCAAAAGTGAAAATCTGTGATTTTATAACTCTGCATTGAGACTACAGGGTACATAAGTTAAAAAAAAAAAAGACACACGTTTTGGCTCAATAGCAGCCGCTTGGAAGACAAATACACAGCGGGCTTCATCCACACGAAAATGTTTTAATTTAAAAAGACATCACTTTTGCTACGTTTATGCGTGGCCTTCACACAAAACCGCCGCTGCTGCTCACACCGCTTCGGTTTGAGAGTTGCATTTTAGCCGGGATTGGCCCAAAGAGACTTGTGTTCATGACCTGATTTGTCCCGTCTCTATGGAGCGGACGTTTGAAGGCGTCTTTTGCCGCTTTCAGGAGGACGATTGACAGAATGACAAGAGCACTTTCCATTAAATATCTATGGTTTCACCCACAAATTTGTCAAAAATTATTTTGGGGAATTCTTTAAAAAAAAAAGCTTTAAAGCTTTTGTTTACGCTTTGTCGTCCAAACACTGTTTTGAAAACAAAAATAAATTGGTTCGGGTGTCACCTAAGAACATCATTAATAGGAGTTGCTGCCATAGGAAATACCAGACATAGATGAGAGGGGCATTTCTACATTGCAGCCATGTTCCAGAGGTACTTGAGACCCATGTATGACAGGACGCTAACAGGAGGGGAACTATGAAATCAGGCTGAATACATGCAGCAGGTGGGGGGCGCGTGGGGGCGGTCGAGACAGTCTCTGGTGTCTGACTATTTTCAGGTCCCCCTTCCTCGCGGGCCAGCAACAGTTGAAACCAGGCAAGCATTGGCATTAAACACACTTTCGTGTGCATGAACGCATGCACGCACCAACTTCACACTTACATGGAACTCGGTGGTGTTGAGAATGTGACGTCCGTCCGGACTCCACCGCGAGCTGACTAGTCCGATTGAGCCCTCATCAATCTTACAGTGCCAGTCGGGCTGCTCCATAGACCACACCTGAGGAGGAGCAGACAGTCACAGCAGGACAGCGTTCAGCCGTCACCGATGACATCCCTCACAGCCGCCCGGCACCTCCGTAACTTTCATTGTTGATTTCAGACAGTAAGAGACTATCGAGCATCAGAAATCATGAGAGACTGGCAGTGGATACCACTTCAGAGGTAAGCTGCTTGCTCTGTGAGGCATTGACTGACATCATACTAACGTTAAAACTCGCTTTTTACCACTACAGCTGCAAAAAAAGAGGAACCGTGACAGGCTCAGACTCTTGATTGAGATGCAAGCGTTTTAGTTTTTTATGGACATTAATTCCAAAACAGTAACTCCATTTTACATGTATTTAAATGAATCATTTTTTATTTAATTTATTTGCCTTTTATAATGACAAGGAAGCTCATGTAAGCAACTTAAAGAAGAAGAAAAAAAATCAATAAATTAAACATGCCTTAGTATTGATGAAACAAAAATGTGTAAAATTATCAATGGCACTACTAAAAGAATTCATGGTATATAGTCTAACCCTTTCGAAAGAAATGTCAACTGTACCTTAAAACAGGATATGCCCGTAGGAACCACAATTAACGGATATTTTAAAAATGTACTCAGACTCCAAACTCCAAAGAGGTTTAAATTATTTTCATAGTTCAGTAAAACAGGATGTGGTAAATTACTAGCGTGATAAACAGCGGCCTTTTTGTAGTTTAACGTGACAAAAATCAAATAAAAAAATAAATATATGAGTCACAGACTCACATTATGTTGTTTAAATGGAAGATGCCTTGAACATGTGTTTTGCTTTGCATTACTATGGTTCCCAAGGACATGTGTTTATATTGCTTATTTTTTACTGTCCTGTGGTTATAGCGATTCTCTCTGTACAAGTAAAATAGAAAAAAAGCAGAAGCTGTCCTCTGCTGCTAGCTTACCTGTACCAGCCCTCTCTTGTACATAGCACAGAGAATAAAGAGAGAGTCAGAAGACCAGTCCATGTGGGATATCTGGTCCAAGCAGGTGTAGAGCTGGAGGATCTGCAGCGTGCTCACGTCTCGCACCACCAGCCTGTACTGAACACAGGTAGCCTGACAAGCACAGCCGAAGAGACGAGAGAAGTCAGAGGAAACCAAACTTCTAAACACACTTACTTATATGTATAACTATGAACTGTACCAGGGAAATTAAGTATATTCTACTCTACTGCATTACACAACTGCACATATAACGTTAGATATACACATAAACATTACTTACCAAATATTTCCCATCCGGGGAAACTTTGCAGAGTTGGTTGGATTGCTTAAAAACCTCGGAGAAATTCATTTTACTAAATAAAAAAAAATAATACAGTCATCACTTTTTGTTAAAAAAAAAAAGCAAACAGTTCCTTGTAACGTCTTGAGATCTGACGGTATGACGGACAGCCTCATGGTGTACTTCCGCTTTGTTAACACGTGATGGCGCCATAGGTCAAATGAATGAGCACGCTTCACGCAGTAAACACACAAACACAGGTAGCACGGATCGAATTGAGTTCTTATCTCATGCAAGAAGAGTCAATATATGGGGGGAGCACGCGTAACGACAGATTAATTCCGTTCAAAACCCAAACTCAGCAAATATAATTGAGCCCCGGGTAGCTAATGGTTAGCCTAGCGTCGGCCGGTTGGCTTGCAAATGCATTATGAAACGTTGGCCACACATTAATCCAAATTAAATAAATTATTTAATGCAATTTAACCTTCCAGCTATTACTAAATCTTAGAGCACATCTACGGCTGCAGATTAAGTGAAGAAAATAACTTCAAAGCAAACAGTAAAGTTAGTTGTTTCTTAGTTGTCACAGGACTAATTCAACACTCACGTTAGCCTTTTACCGTTAATACCACTAGCATTTAGCAGGTAGCCAAACCTTCACTATCTCCACCCTACATGATAACACTTACCTCTCACGGCTATTGAGTTGCTTTCGTTTGTTATGACAATCTAAACTCCCGGGAGCAGTTTAAGAAAGTTTTTTTCTCCGCATGATTGCTTTAGAAGCACAAACTCTAACTGTTGCTAGCTTGTTTGCATGAGCCGTTGACCAGCCGGGGCCGTCCAATCACATACGTTCTGCTTCCGCATAGTGCATTCTGGGAAATGCAGTTCATTTTTATGTTTTCGTACGTCTCAATGTGTGCGTGTATGTGCGCTTGTGTGTCAATTTAATACATATTAGGAACAATATCATTTCGTTTCACAGCCTAATCATCTTAACATTTTGTAAGCAAAAGTATGTTATCCAACGGGACAAAGAAGGTTAAATTACTTCTGATATTCAGCTGGAAAACGTTTCCCGCTTATCTGCACCCAAACCGCGCTACGACGCCTCCCTTCTTCTCTTAGGGCAAAATACGCCTCACCTCCTTCTTGGTCTCCCTCGGCAAAGCTCACACTTCCCTGAATAGTATGAAAACCCGTTTTCCTCGTTTCTTCGCAGTTAATTCTGTTTCTGCGAAAAGTCAATAATCTCAACCGCTGTTATCATATCTACTGTAAAGTCGCTCGATTTTCCTTTTTTTTGTTTGTTGCCGTTTGTTTATGGAGGGTCACTATCCTGGCATGTTTGATAATGAAGAAGCAGGTGCTTGGCGCAACATAATTCTTGGGTATTTGGATCGGAGTAACATTAACCTTCAGGTATGTTTATTTTGTGATTTATTATGTTGGACTATAGCAGAGTAGTTATCTTAACTTATTTAACTGATGTTATGTTGTTGTTTTTTGTTTATCAGCAGGCCTAGTTTGTTAGTATCTCTTGTTTTGGAAAATTTGACGAATAATCGAAATAGAAAAAAATAAAATAAGCCGTTGACAAGAATGACCCAGTTTCCGAATGTACGTAAATCTCAGTTTAATATCTTTCTGGCAGTTGTTTGTGTGATTTTGCAGCCTTACGTTGTTTTTGTGGGTTCCTATTGTTTTTAACGGGTTTGGTTTATGTGATCTCAGCACAGTCGGCCTAAATAAATAGTTCTAGTATGTTAAACAAATACTGGTGGCATTTTACTTGATACAAATTTAACAAGTATGCCTTTGAAAAATCCTGAAATTGCTAGTGCGCCCAGTTTGTGTATTTGGGCTGCAGCTTGCAAGAAAGAAAAATGATTTTTATCATGTAGGTTAGGGCTCAGTGTTTTGTATTTAGTAACCCGTTAGTTGTTATTCGTTCGAATTTTTTTTAGGGACATGCAATAACTCAACTACGTCCTTTAATCAATCATTATATGATATACATGATTTCAATTAGAGCTGTGAAAGATCGAGTCTAAAACAATTTTAAATTAATTTCCTCTCAGTTGGGACAGTGTCATTTCTCTGCATAAAATGGCCCTCGGGAAAGCAGTTTGTGTGCGTGCCGGTGTGTGAGTGTGTTGTCATGGGCGCTGTTACCCGGGAAAGGAGACACAAAGTAGAGTCACGGTGAACATAACGCTAAGTGAAACAAATTGTCAAATTAGGCACCGAACCAGCAGCGGCCGTGTTTTCTGTATGACCTCAGAAAACAGCTGAAGGCGTCTTTTTTACTGAAAGACAAATGCATATTTCTTACCAGGGTGCCATTTAATCAATTGTTTCAACCTTTATCAGTAGTAGGGCATACCAAACGTTCTGAGTAGCATGCGTATGATCATACGGTGACATCATAATAAATCATAATGCTATTCAGGGTAAGTACTGCAGACTAAGTGAGAAAAAAAACACCTGCGGCCAGGTGGATCCCAATTAAACTGCTCCAAGTGCGCAGCAGAGCCTTGAGGCCAACCGGTTTCATTCCCTCTGCTCGTTCTGACGTGACGCTTGGTCAGATCCCTCGTGCAAACACACGAGATGTGACGAGGCGCCACCGAGCACCGAGGGATGCGCCAGAAATGGGCCCTAGTTTCTGCGGCGGCAGTCACCCCGGGAACAGCGGGAACCTGCAGTCACAGCTGCTGCGGCGCTGCGCAGTCTCACACACGGCTACTTGAGTGCACTTCGCAAGCTTCTTCTTCTTCTTATCATTATTATGCCCACCAGCTTGATCATTGGTTGTTGATTTTTTTAATTGTCACACCAATTTGATTGTGTGACATGAATCAAAACGTTATTAGACAAGTGTGCAAGTGTGGTCCGGCCAACGATCAGCAGAACAACACAAGCATTGATCAATAGTCATGACATCACCGAGATCTTTGCTCAGCCTCATCTTCAATCGATTTAGTATAATCTTAAACACTGAAGTGTAAATACCTCCGATTTTAAGGACAAAGTTGAGACCCAGTGCACGAATACAATTTAAACGGAAAGGATCCCTTTTAAAAGCAACCATTTCAAAGAAACATGACCGCCATCTGCATTGATTCCAAAGAAAAGTTTAGAATTTAAGTTTGTCTTTAAAGCCACGCGCCTTTGCCACACTTTTTATTGTGCAGTTACCAACGAGACATGACGCTGCTGTGGGGAGCAACTGTGAATAAAGTAAACTAATACATTTTGTGTTGATATCTCTGGACCCACGGCATTACTTTTAAACGGTACACGCGCAGCTATATTGATTTTCCATTTGTGGCAACGAATACTTATTTGATAACGTGCATTTTGACTCAAACTATTATCGCAGAGGACCGGGCGCATCCCTCTGCGGGTACATTTCTGGACTGCCACTAAACTGCGCTTTCAAAATAAGACAATATTCTCTAATGAATGAGTTGCTTTGTGCGTGGACAACCTGCAGCATAAGTCACCTCTATTGTCCGCTGTAGCTCCACCTATGGATACTCTCATGATGAGAGTCCACATTTCATGTTTGCAGTGCTGGCTGTGTTATTTAGAGACAGGGGCAGAGGTGATGCTGAGACTTGGCGGAATGAGTGATGAAGCAGGCAGGTCTGCACACGCCCAAGCCCCCCCGACACCATGCGCCACCTCACTGGGACATTGGTGTCCTCACACCTGGATGAGTGTGTGTGTGTGTGTGTGTGTGTGTGTGTGTGTGTGTGTGTGTGTGTGTGTGTGTGTGTGTGTGTGTGTGTGTGTGTGTGTGTGTGTGTGTTTCGATTAGCTTATTCTCGTTAATATTGCCGTAGCAGTGGCGGCTGGCTAATAGGCGGTAATGGGGCGTCACCCCACTTGGAGGGAAAGGAAAAATAAATAAAAGAAAAAATAAAATTGAATTCAGAAAATTAGAATATATTTTGTTTGAAATTGTAATTTATGATATTTGTAAAGTTTGATTGCTGCACACAATATATGCTTTTCCTGCAAGTTCCTGCCTGTCAGCACGTCCATGTCTAGATGCGAGTTCTGGCTGCTTTATAAGCAAGCTCAAGAATGCCCACAGAAGCACTTTGCCAATTGCTGATTAAATTAAAAAAAATCTTACATAAAATCTAGCCAATCAGCATCCTAGCATCCTAACATTGGTTTTGTTCCAAGCTTGCGCCTTCGTCTGGTATCGACAGGCGGATGACAAAGCAAAGATTTTATCGCCATTCAAGCAGACGAGACGACTGACATATGTATAATACTGATTATATCATACTGATTATTATTTAATATATATAATATAATATTATACTGAATTGCCTGTGACAGTGACACAATTGTCAACATTTACTGCTTTGGTTTAATGTTGAAATAACTATTAAATGTTTGTATAATGTGTTTTTGAACCTTAATTGTTTTGCATTACATCAACCTGGGATGTTTTCTGAATTGATTTGACTGCCCTACATAGAACATCTTCCGCCAGCCGCCACTGTCCAAATTTGAATCATCACTTTCTTATCAATCTGTGTTTTAAATAATTGTATGTGCGTGTGCTCTGCAGAGTCATCTGTCCCTCACCCGACTACCCGCCCTCTAAGATGTCCCAGTCCACTGTCTCTGAAGAAGGAGGCACCTTCGAGCACCTGTGGAGCTCCCTGTGAGTGTCAACAACACCTGGCGATGTAGCTTTAACGCATTTTCCAAAGGCGTAATGGTTTTATTAAACATGTGAAATGTATCAGGTAGTGATTAAAATAACCCACGATTCTGTCATCACAGAAATAATCTCATCAATCAATCATAATATTATTATTATAAAAAATATAAGCCAATCCATAGTGTAATATCATCTAGGAAAGCGATGTCCTTTGTAAGGATGATGTATTTATTAGAGGTTTTGGTAAGACGTGATCAAAAGAGTGAGAGACAAACAAATATCTAAATATTCAGCCCCTTATTCTCATCTATTCTGGGCTTTTTTCTGCACATCAGAAGCTGTACAGATTTAACATTTCCAACGGCTCTGCTTCAAATTCTTTGTTAATGTTGACTGATCCTTCTGGGAGGATTTCAGACTGCATTGAAACAAGATGGTGATTTTGAGTAATATCGCAGTAGTTTTTTATTGCAGGAATATACATTACAATACTATAGGATGTATAGGGAACATCTGACATCAAGGCTGGTCGTTACTTTTGTAAATATACATTGAAATATGACACTCTTTCCCTGAAGCTGTTAAAAAAACAAAAATAATGAAAGATCAACTTTTCCAAACATTTTACTTGACTTCCCTTAAGACTAAAAAGTGAACAAGGTTTGTTTCTTTACACATCAGGTGCCTATGAGACACACGTGGGTATGTTAATTATTTCTTAAAGCTCATGCCTCTTTGATCAACTCCATGGTTTCATGTGTTCTCAGGGAGCCAGACAGCACCTACTATGAGCTCCCCCCAGGCAGCCAGGGGGCCGAGCGCCCGGTGCCTTCCGCCGGCACCCTGGGGATCCACCGCAGTGCTGCAGAGGCCTCTATGGACGTTTACCAAATGAGGGACATGAACGCCAACGTGATGGTAGGAACGTGGGCCCCCGTTGCTGTTCAGTTTGTTTCTTTGCGGTCAAAAAAGAAGCTGTAGATCATATGATCTGACAGTTGTTTTCCTGCTCTGCGTCTGATCAGATGGTTTTCTTTGCCAACGCACGCACTTTTCTGTTTTTTCTTCTTTGTTGTATTAGCTCACTTTTTCCCTCCAGTGCTGAGGAAATTCCCTCCAATGTAGTTTCCCTCTCCTCTGCAGCCGTTTCCCTCTCTCCATCTCCCTCCTGAGCAGTCTGTTGGGACTGTGTGTGTGTGTGTGTGTGTGTGTGTGTGTGTGTGTGTGTGTGTGTGTGTGTTAGGGGATGGCTAATTAAACCCCTAGCCAGGACCCCTTGCTGCTCCACTTTAGAGCCATCTGTTGACTGAGGTCTGTGCCCTTTACATAAAAAACATATGTTAGCAGGTGCATTCGCCTGATGGTTTTCGTCCCTGGACGGAAACTTCATATCGCCAGATAATTTTGAGAACGTAATTATTTTGCATGAGCTGATCACATCGCACATCATCTTGTACATTTGTTTGTTCCATCCGTCTCTCATTGACACCTCAATGGTTCCTTCCCTTTCTGATCTGAGCTATTGGTCGTTGTAACCTTTTAGTGGGCAAGCCTGGGCCTGCCTGGCTGTTTGAGGAATAGTCATGTCAGAAATAAGGGGGGCGGAGTAAGGATTTGTTGTTAGACACCCACGCAAAACGAGTTGAGATGGCCTAGTCAGTCAAGGGACACAAGTGGAGGAGATGCGAGGCAGGACATCCCCTGTTTCCTCCATCATGTCCCGCTTCCCCGAGTGGTCAGCAGGCCGCAGAGAGCCTGACTTTTATTGTCAAACTTGACATCAGAGTAAATCCTATGATCCCCACACGGACTTCGTAGGACAACCTTATTTTGTCTTTCAGGAGCCCTGCGATGCTGTGTGGAGTGGTAAGTTGACCAGAATAAATTGATGTTCTTGTATATTTCGCGCTATTTTTTTAAAGTTTGAAAGAGTTTGTCTTACTGGTGTGGTAGTGAAGATGGTTTGAGTTTTGGAAGTTCTGGTCTTACTTTGGTTCAAGGTCAATTGGTGGTACAGTTTTTTATAAATGAATGAATCTGCACACGCTCATGACTCATAGTGACGCATAGTGTTTGAGAGAGAGTGGAAAATCAAGCCTGTGTCATTTCTTTTCTTTCATGGATGTTTAAATAATATTTGTTACATTTTCTATACTTATATGTATAGATATATCTATATATATAGATATATATATATATTTCGATTTACGTTTATTATTTATATTTATACGTATATAAGTTGACATGAACGTGACCCTCTTAATGCACGTTACCAAACCTTAATGCACTTTACCAAACCTTCCCAACAGGGGGCGACCTTCTCACACATGCACATTTTACTTCCTCTCCTCCTCATCTCTATTTCACAGGGCTTGCATGGTCAAGACGTAGTACAGTTTTAAAATTATGTCATTTTTGAAGCCTAACGTCATATAACAGAGTCTTATGACCTGTTTAACGAGTAGCTGTACACTGAGGTCACTAGCGGGGGGAATTATTCCCATCCTATAATGTTTTTCCTTCCCTTGACAAGTGAAGGAGGCCTATCTATGTTCCTAAATACTTTGAGGCTTTAAAGCTTGACTTTGAGTGGCAGCTACCAGGATGGCTGCCCACAGGCGACATCAGATGCTGCTGGGATGGGAATGTTAAACACTTATTCACAGACACACACACACGCACTAACTCACACTGCGGCGGCTGAGGGTTTAGCTCTGTTTCAACTTGTTATGGATCGAGTTTAGGTTTTAAAACCATGCCCACCTGTGAGCGCACAGGGTTGTATGACAGCGTGCGTGCACGTTTCCATGTGTGTGTGTGTGTGTGTGTGTGTCAGTGTCGTTGACGCACACACCTGGGCTTACCTGTGTTTGTAAAGCCCATTGACAAGACTTGTTGAAGGAGATTTGAAAGGTAGTCACTTAGATCTTATATCTCTTTTATAAACCTTTCATGATAAAAACGCCCAGTAGGGCACATGCGGGTAAATAGAAAAATGTTATGTCTTGAAAATCCTTCTTTAATCCAAAAAACCCTCACCCCGTTGTGTCTCTTATATGGTGTGTGGTGCTGGATGTACCTGAGTTGCATGGATGCATGTATAGATCCAAATACCCAGTGCGTCGTCATTTTTCCTACATAGTACGATTACGTATAGACCAGAGGTTTAGTCTATATATCCTCATGCTACCTTGTCTCAGGTGTGTCTGTGTTCGTTTTTGGTGTCTGATGTTAAAAATACAAAGCAGAGCAGCGATTAAGTGATGCTGTATTTTGCTGAGGATTGGGGTTTTGTAATTAAGTGAGAATAATGACTCCCAGCCCCCCCCGGACTACATGAACGTGAGGTGCGAAATGGAGGCCTTGGGGTAGGATAGCACTGCAATCGTGCTTTGAGGTAAACTCATGGTATCTGTTGTACTTTGTCTTCTCCCGGTCTTAAGAGAGTGAACAGAAACATTGAATTATTTGTGACCAACAGGTCAAGGAGTTTGTTTTATCTCTCAATGGGATTAGTAATCTTTTTAGTTTTAGCTGCAGAGGATATTTCATTAGTCGCCTTTGACGCAGTTTTTAGTTAGTTTATTTGAAGTTTTATTTGGTGAAATTTCTGTGCACCACTTAAATATTCACACTAGAATCCCTCCGAAAAGCGGGAAAAAAAAATAATAACAAAGATAATTCCGTTTTTTCTGCTCTGAAAAATTTCCAAGTAACATATGGAATGTGGAATATGGAACAGTATTGCTTCTGTGAGTTTCTTCGTTGAGAAACTACAGATCTGCTGATTAAATGCACTGATCGATGAGTTGTTGAAATGTCATAGTAAAAACTCCTTTTTATCCAGCCTTAAAACATCCTTAGATAATACAATAAAAAACAAACATGTATTCAGATCCTTTCCATGCAGTAACAATGATTTTCTCTATAGTGTCCAAGTGGCTCAGCCCTGCCTGCTAATGCTTTATTGACATGCAACACTGGGTGGGTCTGACCCTTGAACTCTGGTTCTTTCATGTGTTTTCCCTCTTCTTCTTCTTCTCTCTCTCTCTTTCTGTCTCCCACTCTCTGTCAGACCAGACAGTGTTTACTTAGTGCAGGGCTTCACAAGGTGTTGTGGAGCGTGTGTGCACATGTGGCCCCGGCATTGCCGTCTATGTCCGGACTTGCCATAATTAGAACTTGTACCATTCTTTTGGTTCCCATACGTCTTTCCCTCTCTCCTTCTCTCCCTTCGTCTCATTCTATTGTTTCTCTCTCTCCGCTCCAGTCCTCACCTTTCTGCTTGTCCTGGCTGCACATGTGTTCGCGTGTGTGTGAGTGTGTCGGTTGTCCACTGGTGCACTCCTCACTTGAACTCTCTGCTTAGGCAATGCTCCTGCACTCTCTTTGCTTTGACCTGGTTGGACGTTTCTGAATGGAAGGTTGATAAATGAGACTAAAGGACTAGAAGATGTACTACGTGAAAAAGAAGGTAACATTTTTTTATTTTATGCTACAATAGGGTAATTGTGTGTGTGTGTGTGTGTGTTGCTGTTTCAGTGTTCAGCTGTTTGCAGCCTTTCATCAGTGTCAGTTATTTGACACATATATACATTTATTTACAGATGTATTTATTTTTTTACGTGTTGAATCGGAATCAACTGCTGTTAAATCGATAGGATAATAGTTTGTTGTTCAAAGAAAGCGAAGAAAGTGTCTTAGTCGGGGGTAGGAGGAGTACCGGTATTGTGGTTTGCTCCTCGGGCTTTTGAACCTTTCAGTGTTTTTTGTTAAAGTTGTGCGACAGGGAACTAACATGAACGTGGCTGATCCAAAAAGTACTAAGAGGAGCAGCCACGGAGCAGTTTCCTGTCCACCGTAGCTTCTAAGGTTGGGCTCAACTATATAGGACACTCACAGAGCGCACTCATTTTGACAAGTGTGTCACCACACACTTCAGCGCAACAAGTCTTCTGTCTTCTCAAACACGGCGGAAGAGAAAAAGAGGGGAATGGCAGGCGATTAGCCAGATTACGCCTGTGTTTTACAACTCGCTCGAATAGCCCCAGAGAGGCTACTGCGAGACACACACACACACACACAGGTGTCATGTGACCATACTACCAAATCTTTTTCATGTATGAATCGCACAGAAGGGACCTGGTGTTTATCACGGACACCGAAACACACATGCACCCTGTCTAACACACCTGCAACCCGCTGTAATCCGACCTCCTTTTTAGCCTCCAAACCCCTGTCTGTCCCACACCTCTACCTGTACCCCCCCCCCCCCCTCCACCCCTCCTCCCTCCTTCCCTCCCTCTCACTGCTCACCTCGATTTCTTCACTCTTCTTTTCTCACCAGTCCCAATACAACTTGCTGAGCAGCAGCATGGAGAGCCTGGGGAGCCGCGCGACGTCTGCCAGCCCCTACAGCTCTGAGAACGCCTCCTCGTCGGCCGTGCCCACCCCCTCACCCTACTCCCAACCCAACTCAACCTTTGAGGGCCTGTCACCTGCCCCGGCCATCCCCTCCAACACCGACTACCCCGGGCTGCACACCTTCCAGGTGTCCTTCCAGCAGTCGAGCACCGCCAAGTCTGCCACATGGACCGTGAGTACACACACTTTCTCGGCTTTTTGCAGTATGTGCACGTGCGTGTGTACACGCGTGTTTGTGTGTGTGTTCTTCTGTGCTTTACCATCTTTTTCTTACTTAGTGACAACTGTGCGCACGCATAAACAAGCACACTTTATTTCACACACACTCACTCAAGCTGGCACATGTGCAGGCTTGTCGCATGCGAGAGAGAGTTGCATGCAGTGATTCATCTTGCTCTTTACTCACCTCTCCTAGTCAAATCCAACGTGATGGATACGATGGGGAAAGTTTGGTGCGAGGTCGAGAAAGGTTTTCTAAAACCATATAGTGTTACTGAAAGTCAGCACCCGGTATTTAATTGGACTTTTGAGACATGCTTGTACTCATGTTTTTGTAAGTGTGATGAAAAGATTTTTAATGATATATTGTGCTTGCCACAAATACACAGCAGCAGTGGTTGCATAATACTGATGGGGAATATTTTACCATTCTATTGGGTAGAAGAACAAACCAAGATCGCAGCAATTTAGGAGAAGACCATCCACACAACTACCTTGTGATGGCAAAGTGGTGAGAGACACGTGAAAGAAGAGCTGTGTCATTTGTCATGAGCTGATGAGAAATCCCCCGCTGCAAAGGTGTCACCTCCGATTGTCACACAGTTGACCTCCCTGAAACAAGAGAAGCAAGAGACAAACTGCACATCCCTCACTGGAAGTGTGTACGTGTGTGTGTGTGTGTGTGTGTGTGTGTGTGTGTGTGTGTGTGTGTGTGTGTGTGTGTGTGTGTGTGTGAGATTAACTGGGGGGCTCCTCCATGGCTGTGTTTGCTGGAAGTAACCATGCATGGTGGGCTCCTTTACCGAGGCCTCAGTGGTGTAAGAAGATCCCCTTCTGAACATTAGAGTGGTGGTCTTTGACCTGCTTCTTATCTTTCTCCGTCTCTTTCTTCCTCGGTTCTTAACACACACTCATGGCTGTCCCCTCCGGCGCCTAAAGTTTTGTCTTGTCTTCTCCTGTATGCCGATCAACTCGTCTCCCTCACTTCCAAGCTCTGACTCAGCTCTTTCTCGCAGCCAGACTACATCAACAGAAACCTCGCAAAACAGGAAAAACAACAACAACCTTGTTTTACCCGAGAAATTCTATAAAATCTTGTATTAACCTGTTTTGACCTGGTTAAAAATGCCCATTAGGACTCTTTACCATTTGTAATATTCCTAATAACTTGATTAAAGGGCTATAGATCTTGCCAATACATCTTCTGTATCTATAATCGGCCTGCAGTCCCATCTACTCAACAAATAAACTCCTGTAGTTGACCATGATTTGCATGGATATTAGTTTAATTACCCCAATCCACTTGCCCGAACAATTCAAGTCTCAGAATTTTTTTGTTACAAGGAAAAGGGAGACAACGCAGTTTCTGACTGGCACACGACTTAAGATACAGATGGTGACGCAGCAGAAAAACAGATTTTGAAGAAACCTGTGATTATTCAGACTGCTCTGCTACGATTTAACAGTAAGGATTACAATGAGAGAGACACTGGGTGATTGCAGACAGCTTTTATGGAGTTTACTGTAAGGCTTTGTTTTTTTTTTTGCCTGAGTATAACATATATGTGGAATAGAGTAGTATGATCATGTTTGATCCTATAGGATATGATATGATACTATTGATTATCTCATAGATAGTTATATATCTGTATAGATTACCTGACAAATAGTTAGATAGTACACGCCATGTAGCATCTACAGTAATACTGTTGTTTCCTTTAAAAAGTTTCATATCAAAATGTAGAAGTTTTTTCAATGTGTCGCAGGAAAAACTAACCAAGAAAACTAAGTGCACTTAAAGGTTTGCCAAGTTTAGATTGAGTCTCCCATCATGTCACTAGTAGATAAAAAAGGATTACAGCTAAGCCTCTTGGAATGAATATAATTCTACTAAAGGGAGGGGAGGGGATTTCCAAAAATATAGACAAGTGATTCAGGAAGATCTGTGTATGTCTAATGTCCATGCATGTCTGTGTGTGTGTGTGTGTGTGTGTGTGTGTGTGTGTGTGTGTGTGTGTGTGTGTGTGTGTGTGCGCAAGTCCCAGGTTTGAACATGATAGAAACAAAAGAATGGGAACCAAACTGAATCACCTTGTTCAAATGAAGCGTTAACAGTCTCTGGGGCTTCTTGTGATTTCTTGTGGCCTCAGGCAGTGGGGAACGCCGAATGTCATTGGGGCATATTGACTATAATAAGTTACCTCAATGCCCCTCGAAAAGATTGGACCAGAAGACAGGATACATTTTTGATGTTTCCACATTCAGTAATTCCATTCAAGTCCATGTTAATCTAGTCTGGAGGCTGGTCCCCCTCCTGTCTCGTCAAGACACAGTGCATTAGTGATAATAGCTCTGAAGCTCTGAAACTCTAGCGCTCTCTTGAAGATGATTCCTTGGCTTGGATGCAGGGAGGCATCACTGTGGCTGGAAATGAGATCTAATACCACCGCCTCGTCAAATAATAAGACCTCACTCAGATCTCAGCTTGTGTGTATGTGTGTGTGTACATACGGTATGTGTCAGGAAGGGGAGGGGGTCTGGCGCGGTGGGTGCGGGCTCGAGCAAGCACTGCAAGGCGGCTCGTCAGAAGCTGATCATCCCAGCTATTAGCCTCTTTCCGTTAGGACGCAGGCCCCAACACGCCGTGCCCAATGCCCTCTTTGCCAACGCATCATCTGCAGCCACATCACCGTTGGCCCACCAGCTGGGCATGCGCTACAATCTATACCAAGATTATGTTTATTGTCACTGACAACACACATGTGTGTATATTAAGTCTTTAAAATTAGTTTTACAATATCCCTGTACTGCACCAGTGTTGTTAGTGCATCCCTGATTACGGATTAGCAATCGATATGAACGCAAAAGGACCTTCTGAGGCAAACATGTGAGGTTTGAATGACTCAACGATTATTTCAGGATTAGGATTAGATCAATTACCTTCACCGTATACCATGGGAGGTTTTGGAGATGATTTGCATCCATCGAGTACAGCTCAGTGTGCCTGTGTATGTCTTTCGATATCTTCAATATTGGGGCAGTTAAACAAATTTGCGGTGGGCAAGTTGTAGCTTGTGTATATGGATGACAGTCTGGCAATTATCACCCTGTCTCAGTTGCCTGTTAGGACCTGCCTCCACTGGTCCAGCCCTGGCGTAGAGGCATGGGGCGATGGATGGATGGCTGGGTGGGATTGCAATACGAATGGACGATTATTGTCACAGAATCATAATGTAAATTCAGGATCACACTGTAACATTGTTGGATTTTTCCAGCACATTTGATCATATGTAAAGATGAGCTGCTCATACATGTGTTGTATAGCTTTAGGTGCATTGCCTACAACTGACCTCCAGATAAGAGAGAAGTCCAGCATGTAAATAATGTTAAATTGAACACATCACCATTACCACTAGACTTTGGATATGAAACTTAGTGGCACAAAGCATAACGGTTCTTTGCTGAGCCTGTTTTTTTACAGAACATTTGAATGTAATTCAAACGTTTCCTCTTTTATTTCTTGATTTTCTCTTCCAACTTACCTTGACCATTTGTTCCAGGTCATTGACAAAGCAAATAATCTGTTTAGCCTCTGATGATGTTAGTTCTTTCTCCATCTTTTTGTTTTTTCATCCCCTCATCCTTCTCTACGTCCCGATACAGAGCCCGGTTCATCCATCATCCTGTATCTTCTATTTGCAACAGAACATACGCACTTAGATTTTCTTTATGCTGCGCTAAACTTCAAACAATGACACACAAAGCTCAATTCCCATTTGTGTGTATGTGTGTGAATGTCTATGCCAAGTCGCTGCATGTGCACACTAGTCTGTGTGGAGGACGAGTTGAGACGTCTCCCATGGCATCTGTACTCCGGTAGGCTGAAAATGGGAAAAAGTCATTTATAATTTTTTTCCCTGCACTTTGCGATGTCCAAAAAGGATGCAACCGAACCCTGACCCCACGTGGACCCGCAGCCTATCAAAGGTTTTTTTGAGTAGAGCATTAAACAACCACATTTTAACACGATGATCCCCCTTTCAAACATAATATATATATGTAATAGAATTATAACTATAGATCAGTTTTGGAAATGGGATTATTACTTCAAGAAGTGTCCTGCGGTCTCTAAAAAAATAGGGCATCTCAGAGAAATGATGTATTTATGGTATGGACCGGCTGTTGGGACTTGTCAGGGAAAGCTAGGTGGGAAAAGGTAATGGTGTGTACAGGTATTACCATTTCCCTCAAGGTAGGGCTCATGGCTGAGGGTGTGTGTGTGTGTGTGTGTGTGTGGTTTTGAGGGGCTTAGCGACGGTGTCACAACAAGGAATTCAAGCAGTTGTTGTCAGAATGACTCCTTCCCGGCCTGTCTGGTGTCTGGGAGAGTGAAACTAGAGACTGGATTATTAGTTAGTTTTTATTATACTTATTTTTATTATATTTGAAATTTTTTAATTTACCTGAAATGAAAAAAACTCTTAACTGGACGTTATACCTGGCAGTAAATTGCAGAAAGGAGCCCAAGCTAAAACGTTACTCGAAATTTATGTTAAACAATGATTGCATTTTTTTAAGGACAGGGATTAAGAAAGAGAACAGAAAGCATACGCCTTCTTGGGCGAGCACAACCTTTTGGAGCCGGAAAAATCCTCCTGAAGCCCAATTTCTGTCGAACCACACAGCTAGTTTGTAATACAAGCATTGAATTGGTTATATTTTTTCAGGAAAGTAAAATGTACTTGTGTGGAAAGGTAAAGATGGCAGAATGTGGATTCAAATGCTTCCAAGTGAACAAAACTTGTGAACTTGATTATTGGTGGATGGTACTTGGTTTAAAGATGTGGTTTTTTAGGTTTTCGGGGTTTAATCCCAACTATTCTCTAAACATGTATAAAACCAATAACCAAATACATGATAATATGATGAAAACCTGAAAAATGATGTTTGAAATGGGATTCTGGTTGGTGCAGATCATGTATTTGTTCAGGTTGAGTAGAGCTATTAAGGTGACTCTCCTTTCTTGTTTTTGTTTTTTCTCTGTTTTTTCTTGTCATTTATCTATTATGTGGGATTTGACCTGCTCTGATTTTTACAAGACGTCAGCATTGTTTGTTAAAAATAGATGAAATAATCACATTAATTAAATTGTATTTTTAAATACCACTAGGCTAAATGCAGTTCTAATATCACACAGATCTTGGTCTGAATGTACTGTATTTCTGCCATAGGTTCCAATGTTACTTTTGTATTCAGGCCGCAGTAGCAAGTCCAAACAGGACCACTGTCTTCTCAATTTAGTTCCCAGTTGGATTTCCACAGGAAGGATTTATAAACCTTTGTGATTGTGTGGGGGCATGTTAAGGCTTCTCCATCGCTTGTCCCGATGTCTGGGATACATCGTGTGTGTGTGTGTGTGTGTGTGTGTGTGTGTGTGTGTGTGTGTGTGTGTGTGTGTGTGTGTGTGTGTGTGTGTGTGTAGATGCTTGTAAACTGAGGAATCTTTGAAGATTTGGCTTCAGCACAGATCAGTATATTCTCATTGAACTTTAAGGTACCCGTCTGATTAGCAGTGGTAAATGTTGAATATTTAATCAATCCTTTCTTTTCAGCTTGTATATAGACTCAGACACAACCACAAGGGTTGGGGTTAATAAGTTGTTCTTTTTAATAACACATTTATTACTTTTACTACGCAGACTAAGTTTACTGCTGACTGTTTAACAGTCTGCGTATTTTCCGTTTCCCCCTTCCTGTCATGTTCTCTCTTTCTTCAAATGCAAAATTTGTTCTCAAGTGTTAATTTACTTTTTTATTTTATTTCAATACTTCTTTAGTTGTCCTGCTGATAGATGAGGTCTCCAGACTATATTTTATTACTTTACAAATGTGTCTGTCCAAAAGTTTCAACTGGAAGTCAAGATTAAGTATTCATTTCCTATTAAGTAAATTTCCTGCATTTGGGGATGCAAACCCGTGGTAAACATTGTGTTATGCCAGTAAGTTCACTTTCCCATGACTGATAGTCGCGTTCTGAACAACCCGGACCAGTGACTCGAGCCTCTGTGCTCCTGTGCTCTTTTCCCACCCAGTACTCTCCCTTGCTGAAGAAGCTCTACTGTCAGATCGCCAAGACCTGTCCAATCCAAATCAAGCTGTCCTCCTCTCCTCCTCATGGCAGCATCATCAGAGCCATGCCCGTCTACAAGAAGGCGGAGCACGTCACAGAAGTGGTCAAACGTTGCCCCAACCACGAACTAGGGCGGGACTTTAACGATGGTATGATAACAACGTCCTGTAACCGACTGCACCCGGACGTTGCATGTCAGCAATAACGTCCACAAACTATTTTGTTGTTGGGCCTTGAAGGGAAGGACATAACATGTAATAACCAAGCATGTCGCTCATGGGTGATGATTTGACATGTGTTTTTTTTGCTGTTCTCTCATCATTCTCTTCACAGGTCAAGCAGCACCAGCCAGTCACCTGGTCCGAGTAGAAGGGAATAACCTGTCTCAGTACGTGGACGATCCTGTCACTGGCCGGCAGAGTGTCTTCTTGCCGTATGAGGCTCCACAGGTCGGTGGTTCATCAGCTACTCGTGAAGACAAACAATGCATTGCAACCGTAGGGACGGCGCTCAAGCACCAGACATTATGGGTTAATGTACAAACATATTTAGAGATATTTACTCTTTTCATGAAGTGAATCCTAGTAGGTTGTTGTCTTTCTAAATATCTGAAAGATATCCATGTGATGATGTACATACATACACAATATTTCAATCAATCTCAAAGATACAGTCCCTTTTTCCCGAGGTGCTTCTGGGATGAGGATGCGACTTCTGGGTTACGCAAGTCCATACAAGTACAAGTGTGAGAAATCATCATGACTGTGAAGGCACCTGGGGAGGTCAATGCTTAGTGTGATTGTCCCACTTCACATCAAAGTGCACTGCAACACTGCCCTCTAGTGCTGGACTAGCACATTTTCTGTCAAATCTATGTGTGAAAAGGGAGGTTTGTTTGTGAACAAAGACACACTTTGGACAAAGTGTCAATAAACCAACAAAGCATCTAACTACTCTCTGTTTTGTGCTTCAAGGTGGGGACTGAGTTTACTACCATCCTTTATAACTTCATGTGCAACAGCAGCTGTGTGGGCGGCATGAACAGAAGACCCATCCTCATCATCATCACGTTGGAGACCAGAGAGTGAGTCAACAGTTCGCAATTAATACATGCAGAGAGTTCAAATAAAGTTCTCTAAAGCATCTCTATATCGTGTGATCTCTTTTGATTATTTCTGGCATGGGCATTCGTACATATCATGAACCTTCAAATGTTTTACAACATAGTTAATGATACAGGAGAGAACACACCAACCTACAGACCTCAACCTCAATCATATACTTCACATCCATCTACATCTACACATCTACATCTAGTCATATTTTGTACCATTTAACATGGCAATGTACACTTTAGCAGTATGGCTGGAGCCAAAGGCTTTAGTGCGAGACTAAAATATTTTTTCCATCCCCGATCATCCATGCAGGGGTCAAGTGTTGGGCAGGAGGTCGTTTGAAGGTCGGATATGTGCGTGTCCTGGCCGAGACCGCAAAGCAGACGAGGATCACTTCAGGGAACAACAGGCCCTGCATGAGAGTGTGGCCAAAAATGGCACCGCCAACAAGCGCAGTGAGTTTAATCAAACTGACACATTCACGTTAGCTACACATATAAATAGTAACGTGACTTTTCTGTCGTCCGCCTTCTGGCTGTTGGTGTACATTCAACGATCAACCGAGATGTCTTAGTGCTCCATCTGAATAACGGATGGAGATTTTTCAGAAACATGTTCAATCATAATTCTTTGTCTGTCTTCTGCAGATTTCAAACAGAGCCCTCCGAATATTCCCAGTCCCAATATTAACATGAGGAAGAGGCGGCATGGAGAAGAAGAGATTTACTATATTCCCGTAAGAGTTTTTTAAAAAACATATCATTGTACATCACTAGAGTTATTATTTATAAATATGAGATAGAGATGATTTACACTTGATATATGAGATTTTATCACACCTGTATTCATATAGGAGTATGTGGAAACATATATTGACGACGAGTCAAGTCAATTAGTTTAGTGTTTTATAAAGCTCAATATCTTGACTACAAGAGAGTCAAATAGGATCAAACACTGAAAACAAATATTCCCTTTTTAAATGACCGCCACGTTGTATGTGTTGTGTTTGCATGTAGGTCCGTGGTCGGGAGAACTTTGAGCTGCTGATGAAGATTAAAGACAGTTTGGAGCTGGTGGAGCTGGTGCCGCAGCCACTGGTGGACTCCTACAGACAACAAACGCAGCAGCAACTTCTGCAGCGGCCGTGAGTCAATCCAACAGTAACACTGTCCACAGACGCACACAGGCGAATGCTAGTAAACACGCACACATGCTGAAAGGATTGCATTGACCCATACACGTGTATACAATCCGAAAAAGGCATATAAAAAGCTTAGTTTTATGGTTTTCCAGCTGAAGTCTATGAGTTCTGTGAACCTTTAGAGGTTTGTTGAATTCAGCAAACACAAACTGTTGTGTTTCACATTCTCACTAACAAGGACACACACATTCTGCTAACCTGAGTCACATTTTCCTGTTTTCTGTAGGAGCCATATAGCATCCCCCTCTCCTTACTCTCCACTGTCCAACATGAACAAGCAAAATGTCCACGGAGGCCTCAACAAATCCCCCTCGGTCAACCAGCTGGTTGGGCAGCAGTCCCAGCAGCACCCCACTGGCCCCGCCTCCATCGTGCATATGGGTGAGCATCTACATATGTGATTTAAATCAAATAAGATATAATCATAAAGTGTATTTTTGTAGTTTTCCGATTAGAAAATATCAATGCAAACAGAGCCTGTTCGTGCCATTATAGCTCAGCTCTTTGTTCTATTCTGCCGCTCAGTATTTCATTGATCACCCCGCCCCATTCTCACAGGTTCAAACATGCTCAACAGCCACCACATGCAGGGAAATGGTGATATGAACGGTGGACACAGCAGTCAGACTATAGTGTCTGCTTCCCACTGCAGCCCGCCCCCTCCGTATAACCCTGACCCCAGCCTTGTCAGGTACCTCACCCTCCAATGACATTCCTTCTTAATCCTCCTGAAAAGGGACAATCACATGCACTTGTTGATGTTGAATTCTAATGTTGATGCCCAACACAGCTAGTTTGGTTGTTGTAAAACTCCCTAAAGCTGCAGCAATATTTGCTTTGGTTGAACTGTGTTATGCAGTCAGTTGTGTGTGATTATGGCTGTTTTGTAGAGGCTTGCTAGTACGTCACAAAACTGCCAAACATGGCCGGTGCCATAATGAAGATCGACTGGGGAAATGGCTGCCTGGAAATAATGTATTTAAATAGCTTATGTTAATGGAGAAGGGTAGTTCGCTAATGTTTTCAGTAAAACTGGAAAATGTGTATTGGTAACTTTGTTTCCAAAATTTGGCTATTTTCGTTTAAAAAGTATCCCGCCACCAGCGTGTGAGGTATGTCTAAAAATGTCTGTCTGATCTTTGTCAGCTGGCGAAAAGTAATTTACAAAAAAAGATGGTGTTTTTGCATAAGCTTGCCAATATTAAGAAAACCAGCTTTGGTTAAAAATCACATAAATCATGTCTATGTACTCTGTCTATACAGACAGGTTTTTATATATTAAAAAAACTGTTATATTTTTATAATGTGTCAGTGAAGTCGTTTTAAACTTTGCTTTTCAATTTACAGGTTTTCATACTTACTTTGTCCACCTTTCTGGTTTCTAGATTGTTATGTTTTTTGTACGGTAAAATTGAACAGTTAGCTTCTTTTTCATTTACACTGTATGTTGCCAAAACGTTAACATTTCATGTATTTATAATAAAGGTTCTTCATCAAAGCAAGAATGGCCTTATGAATCATTAATATAAATGCATGTTTATGGCTTTACTTCCACTTCCTGCATCAAGCTGTATGGTTTCAGCACACTTGAGGCCGGATCTGTGGCCTAACCCCTTCACTCAGTTTTGAAATAAACTAAAAATAACATTAGTAGATAACGACATAACATAACAGAGGAAGGTTCTTTTATAAACAATTCTGTAAAATAAATGCAGACTCTAATTATTAAGTTAGTGTTTATTCAACAGTAACACAGTTGCACTTTTCCGAAGTATTAATGAAGTTGATTTTAGCTGTGTAGCTTTGGTCGAATGGCAGTCTAAGCAGCCCTGCTTCTCTCCCCTAACAGTTTTCTAACCAGTCTGGGCTGTCAGAACTTCATTGAGTACTTCACCTCCCAAGGCCTGCAGTCCATCTACCATCTCCAGACTCTCTCCATGGAGGTAACCACTCTGATCCTGCAATCGCAATCGCACTGTGAAAATAACTTTTTCTGTGTCCAGAGCTTCATAGAAAACAGAATACTGTTTCTTTGTCCACTTTAAAGGGGAGGAGCTTTTGAAAATCACTTGAGGATGGAAACATTTAACCTAGTCCTACTGAAACTATCCCCTAGTTTTCTGCCCACTAATGACGAGCAAACAAATGACGATGCACACGCACTCTTTCTTGCCATTCGTTGTGGATTGTTTCCTCCTACATTCTTATATACATTTCTCCAACGTCTCACCAGGATTTAAGTGCCCTGAAGATACCGGAGCAGTTTCGCCTTGCCATCTGGCGAGGTCTGCAGGACATGAAACAAGTTGCTCCCCTCCAACTGCCTGCCTCCACTCATCACCATGACTACCACGGCCAGCAGCTTCTTCGCTCCAGCAGCAACATGACGGCATCTGCCATGGCGGCCATTGGGGCTGCCAGCGGGGAACTCCAACGGCAGCGCGTCATGGAGGCTGTGCACTTTCGCGTTCGCCACACCATCACGATCCCCAACCGGCCGGGTGTCGTAGGGACATCAGGGATGGCAGCAACCAATGATGAATGGGCTGACTTTGGTTTTGACATGCCCGACTGCAAGCTGTCGCGCAGTAGTAGGCACTCCATCAAGGAGGAGTTCATGGAAAGTGATGTTCATTGAGCCCGGAGAGCATCTTTGGATCCAATCTTGTTGCCAGCATTAGCCTATTTACAAAGTAAATACATGTGGATCGGGCCTTTGGTTGTGCTTTCTTGGTGTTGCTGGCATATTCCCGTCAGTGATATGACACAGAACCAAGTTCTACTTTGATTGCTAGAAATTTCACTGAGTTTAATGCACTTCCCTGTCATTGAAAAAGTTGTAAGACCCACACGTTTGATAATCTCAGGTCTAAATAGTAAATGCCATTGTGGCAATAGCATGATGATGTCAATGCTAAACACATATGGTCTCTGGAATATACTTTTTTGGACCCAGATATGTGCGTGGTTAATAAAAAAAATGTCTTTCTGGAAAATGGAATGTTGATTAGCTGCTCACCTTATGTTTTTTTACTAGCGTCTACTACGCGTGTACCAATTTCACTAACGCACAAATGTCACAGCAAAAGAATCACCCATTCACAATTTGCCAGTTCGAATTTTGTGTTTGAATGCACAAAGTTAATTGTCAGATGACTTATTTATTGTTACTTACTTATTATTGTTGTTCCGTTTTCCTTCATTGTACAAATGTATATATCGTATCTTGTAAATGTTTTAGACTGCATGTGGTTGAAAAAGGGTATTTGGATTCAAAATAGTGTATCTCCTCTTAGGAACCAATGTAAAGAACTAATTGGTAAATCTTGTAAAACTTGTAAAACCCAGCTGTGGAAATACATGGTCATGCATATTTGTAATGGCTATGATAATTTAGGGATATTTAGTTAAGTATGCCTAATTCATTTATTCGTTTAATGGGCTTTGGTATTAATTGTGTGCATTCATGAAATCAAATGGAAATCACAGTCAACAGGTAATCAAAAGTCAAACATTTCATCCATTCCTTTTTTATAAGGTCATGGAGAATACTGTTGTACTTATACAGAAATACATGGCAAAACACATGAGACAAACTATCACAACAGTATTATAACTTAACAGCAGGGATTTAATCGGAATGTTGGATAATAAATTAAGAATTGCATCCCTGTTTAGACACTAAAAAACTGTAGCATTTGTGTCGTTCTTTGTGTATTTTGAAAAACCTTGCAGGGCAAGGCCCCCATGTATTGATTATAGCTAGATGTTAACCTAGTATGTATCTTCATGGCAGATGTTTGTGGATATTTAATAGCAACATTCCAGTTTCATTTCTAGATTGCCATAAAGCATGATTAACCATGGTGTCATGGCTCTAATGGTGTCAAATACAGTATGTTGGAAGTAACTACTTGACTTTGTACCATGATAATAACTTTTATGGCTGACCTGACATCCATTTTCTTTACAAATGCTTTCTGACGTACAAAGAGACACATCACTTTGCCCACTTACCACCAACTGGTCAAAAAGAAGCACTTTAATGCTTTGAAAGTGAAATAATTGAGGATTATTTGTGCTTGTGATCAGTATTATGAATTATTATGCATGTAAAAAGAAATAGTGCTTGTTTTGATATTCCTGGAGTTTTTGTCAGGAAAAACTGACAAAAACTCAGTTTTGTATCGATCATTGAGATATGTATCTATGTAACTATTGCTGTTCATTAATGTTGAGTAGTTTCTGATGTTATTAAGTTTGGTGTTTTCTTTTCTTAAACTAATGGCTATTAAAATATTTGCTTCCCTTTAATTATTGTCTCTTTATCAAAGTGAAAAAGTATTTGAATTAACATAAATTAACATTTTATGGATGACATCGTCGGCCAGTGGAAAGAGCACTTAATAATAAATGACCATTTTACTTGAAAATATTGTGTTATTATGTATTTTCTGTGAAGTCGTGGAAATACTCTTCACTAAGTTCACTGAGAGACAATCCATCAACATGGTTCTGTTGATTATAGCCTAATGTTTCTGCGCTGATGATGGCACTTTTTTTTTAGCCTAATCTGTCATCAGTTATATTTATATCCACAAAGTATTTGGAGAAAGGCCAGTAACATGCTGTAATGCAAGTTCATTTCAATCAGTTGATTTCAAAATACAACGATACATGTTTTAAATGTCTTCCCGCTGCTCGAATACTCTGCTATTTTATTGAAGGCTGAATTGCGTAAAACAATCCAAAGAAATAGCGGATTTAAAGGGACTATCGCTTTAAAGTGCTCTGGGTTCGACTATCTGTCCTTCCGGGAGCTCCAGCTCGCTTCCTCGCGGAAGTACTGACGTGTTAACAGGCAGGAGTGGCTAGTTTAGCTAGCTAGGTAGAGCCGGGTAGTGACACAGCGGCCGTATCAGGTAAGAAATGACTCATTGATTATTTCCCCCATAACTGCGAATACAACCAAGAGACGGACACAAGTATTAAAACTAAGAAACACATTTCAAAAGCATTGTAGCATTCAGTGATCGCGGATGTGGCCGCTACAGTGGTTTGATTTCTAACTGTGCTAACGTTAGCTAGCTAGCCGTTGGCAACGTACTACTGTACCGTCGGAAGTGAGTTGTCAGTTTGTCGCAGTCCCTGCTGGTATTTGTAGTTCTACATTTTCCAGATCATCATGAATTGCATTGAAATAGAGTGGATCACTAACTACACGTTTTTGGACTAGGTTTTGATAGACGCTATGCCGAAGGTTGGGGAAATGTAGTTGCATACATTCATTTAAGGAACGATAGGGGTTAAATGAAGCTTTATGAAAACTACAGATACCATTGATGATTTGGGCCAAAGGGCAATGTGCACGTTAGTTAGCCAGATGACTAGTTAGCTATTTCTATGCCTAATTTGTAAGCTAACGTGAGTAATGTTCTCTTTTTTTAAACGGCATTGACGAATTTTCACGTTTTGTTTCCATCGTGTCCATACTATTGGTTTCCATGCGAGCCGGTGGTTATAAATATGACTCCACTAAGGTTGCTCGCTGCCTTCCAGACCGCTCAAGCCTGTTTGCTAGTTAGGAAGCTAACGTTAGCCACAATCTCCAACAGTTCCACACAAAATCTTGCTTTTTTAATTTTAGCTACCATTGCATATAAAAAATTCGAAATTAAATGACTCTATAGTGTCTATGGTTATACAATGCTTTGTGGCAATGAAACCGGGGCATTACCAGCTAATGTTAACGATACACAACGTTAGATCTACTCGTTTAATCAATGAATCACTGAAAAGTTCAAGCGAAAGCGTCGGAAGTATGTTGCTACCGGTTAGACTACAAACCTGTTTGCCTATCTTGTCAGTCTAAACAAAGCCATTACCGTAGTTATTTCATGTGGGTTATCTAGTTACATGGATATCTACTTAATATTGCAATATTGGCAATAAAGTGCTTGGTGCCCTATGCATTTAATTATATATTTTACACTTTGGATTATGTGTGTGTGTGTGTGTGTGTATATGTAATATATATATATATATATATATATATAATACATTATACTTTTCTTTTTTTAATCTTTTGTACTTCTGAGGATTCTGTAGCTATGTGGGAGGACAAGGGCATAGCAAAAAAATAAATGTACAGAGTAACCTGTTGAACTGTGAACATGACAATGAGTATCATGAATCTCTCATTACTTTGCACTGGTTGTGTGTACCTGTCCGACAGCTTCCCCATCAGGACTCGCTTACTTAACTCACCAGATCCAGATTCTGCTCTTCCGATCTCCAAACAGCTGGTTCTTTACAGAGCAGATCACACATTTCAGTAACTAATCGTACTGGATGGTTTATGTGTCAGTGCCTTGAGTAAGAAGCAGGCACAGTGTAATTTTAGAATAGAAAACCCTTTCTAAACACGTCTACTGGTGCATACAGAAATGTTCATGTCCTCTGCTTTTTCATCCATTATTGGGAGCGTTTTCTTCGCACCAGGTATTTATTATTAGCACTAGATTTGTATTACCAACTTAATGTTGTTCATTTTATGGTATTCATGCTTGTTGTACCTAAGAACCAGTGAATGTTGTGCTTGCCCACAAGTACAACTTTTGAAAAATATTTAAAGTCAATTTTGACAAGTTTCTTTTCTCTTCTCAAACTGTTTGTCTGTCTTGTAAACTTGATGGAAATTCTTTAACGTGGGAGTTGCTCGACTTGTACATATTACATATACAGTCTCTTTCAGTCATGCTAGTCAAGTAGTCTCCATCCATGCACCACTAATCAAAATGTCTCTCTGGTCTTTGCTGGCAGAATGTCAGAAGGGGACAGTGTTGGGGAGTCAATCCATGGGAAACCATCTGTAGTTGGTGCCTTTTTCACACGGATTGGACAGGTGAAATGTTAATACTATTCAAATGTCAAATGTACATTTTCAGTTAATAAGGGATTACATGATTGTCTACACTGTTGTACATTCTGAACTGCATTTCATGTGTGAATATATTGAGAGGGATGGGAAAAAAAGGCATATGTTCACACCTACTCGGCCAATAAAGGTGATTCTGATTTGTTGAGCATTAGTCCATCTACCATGCTAACCTACCTTGATATGTTCCAATTGCATGCTTCTTTTCTTCTAATGTCCTAAAAAGATCAAGCTCACAAAGAGGCTTATTTCAGGTACTCCTTTGCATGATGTACATTAAAACAGAACAGTACTTTTACCACTTCCAATATTATATTTTCCATTTTCGTCACTCATTTGTATCTAAGACAAACATTCTGTAGCAGTTTGTCAAGTATGGTACGCAGCAGTGTTATCAGTGCATCCCAACTGCCCTACAATTTGTCAAATTGCATTGGACAGGCAGAGTGACGCATAGGGCAAAGGTTAGGAATCTCCACACACCAAACGTCGTTTTTAAGTTGTATCTTACTTGATCATATGTGATATTCTCTACCTCTGATGGCTCTATACATTTTTTTCCTTTTTATAGGTCTATCAGTCATGGCTAGACAAGTCAACGCCATTCTATGTAGCGCGATGGGCAGCTACTCTCCTACTTACTGCCATCTACATGATCAGAGTGTACATACTGCAGGTAATTAATTTTTATTCTTTTCCAATTTTCTTCAATGTTTCCCACAGATCCAATGTCAATGTGTGGGGTTTGACGAGGGAACTGACCGCTGAACTGGAATAATTCGTTCAATATTAATTTGTAACACAGAACTTTATTGGAGTAAATACAAAACCCGGGAATCGCGCCTATACAAACCTCGTACTAAAAGTACACAGTTTACACCCTATACTACTTGTTGTTACTATCCACATGCGCAAAGTCTGCAACTTCTGTCAGAGCAGCGGATTTTTGCGGGGCTTGCTAAAAAAAGACACGCGAGACAGATGCGGTGTGCACGAAGGGGAGGGGCTTGGTGTATGTGAGACGTGTGAGTGACAGACGGAGGGAGAGCATGAAAAAGAAATGCAGCTGAACTAAAACACTGCGTGATTCAAATAGCGTTTAAAAAAAAAAAAGAATTAAAAAGTACACCAAACGCAATGTGTGGCGGCCGGTGTTGAATCTGCGGCGCACCGCCACACCTTAGACAGTGTGGTAAACACTGATGAGAGTTGTACATAGTTGTAATAAACAGCACCGCAGCCAAATATTGAACTTCCTCTGCAATTTTTTTGAGTGATTAATCACCTGCACTATTGCTTTATTTAACCACTAGTTTGTGCCAGACTATGTCTTTTTAACTGCTGCACATTTGTGTTTTTGTTCTGCCCCAAAATCCTGTTAATCTAATAATGTTTCTTCTGCTGCCTTTCAGGGTTGGTATATAGTAACGTATGCATTGGGAATCTACCATCTCAACCTGTTCATCGCTTTTCTATCGCCAAAAGTGGATCCCTCAATGCTTGACGAAGGCAAGTTGAATCAATAAAATCTCATCAGCTTTTTGTACAATTGTCACCTATTGGATTGTTACCTGGCTGTTTATTTAGGCTTTTAGCCATCACACATTATGGTCAATATTAAATGCCCCTTATAATACCTTTTGGTGCGCAACACCTCTATCCATCACTTATGTTACAAAATAATCTTAATGGCCATCCAAACAGAACCAAATACTATTGCAGATTTGTACTGTCAGTCTGCCAGCCACACTGTTGATTGACAGGTGATCTTAATTGCAGACACATAATAGCAAAAACTATATAAACAGTGATGTCATTTATTCTCCGTATTTGGCCTAATAATCTTTTTACATAAATTGTTATTACAGATTAAAAACAAGCGTTTGCTCAAGTTATTTTAGTTAGAAAACAAAACACGAACTAGTAATAGTAAATCTGCTCCAATTTTTTATGTTTTGGTTGTTGGTTGTTCTTAGTTTAAGAGTGTAAGACTTCGCTTTTTTTCTTAAATACCTACAACACATCACACATAACCGCTCTGTCCTGCAGATGACGGCCCATCCCTTCCCACCAAGCAAAACGAGGAGTTCCGCCCTTTCATCAGAAGGTTGCCTGAATTCAAATTCTGGTGAGTGCAGCTCCCGGCCCGACCGCCTGTCATTGCATATCGGCTCCTTTTAAAAAGACCTGCGGTGAACTTTAAAGTCACGCAGAGCTCATTTAAACTCATTTAAAGAAGTAAAACAAAAGATGTTGGATTGAATTGCAAGGAATGTTTATGCTTGTAACACGGTGATATCTTGTATGCTTGACCTTATTCTGTACTTCATCCATAGAGCATGCCTACAGACATACAAATTAAAACTAAATGACACTTTGCTGGCTCGACAAACATTCACCAGGAAGGTTAAATCTTTGACTAGTTATAGCATTTATAGCAGTTATAGCAGTTTTTGAGCAATAGAAAGGCAACCGATTGAGCAACATGTCAATGTCTGTGTTCTACAATCTACATTTCATGTCAAGCTTTGCCTGAATTTCACGTGTTCCTGCAAACTCTTTCCTCTCGTGTATTAAACCAGGAACTGAGGGAAGTGACTTTGCATCAGTAATGCAGCGGACATTTTCATATTGTATAATATCTCGTGCTTATGACATTTGTTTTTAGAACCGAGATAACTAATGGCACGGAATAATTTATCAGTTGTTTTACCTTACCTAGAGAAAATGAGATACATCAACATCAAAAAATCCTTTTTCTAGGGATTAATTTCATGCAATGAACCTGCATCAATTCCTCATGATTATACCTCCACACTGGCTTCACCACAATGTTAAATTCTACTAATGCGGTGAGACTTTTTTTAAACTGAGTCTTCTCTTTCCAGGCATTCAGCAACGAAAGGCATCGTCATCGCCATGATTTGCACATTTTTCGAAGCCTTCAATGTACCAGTGTTCTGGCCCATACTTGTAATGTACTTCATCATGCTCTTCTGCATCACCATGAAGAGACAGATCAAGGTAAAAAAAAAAAAATACATTGACTGACCCATAAGGGTCAGTGTAATACACTGCATTGCTTGGAATACTCAATGTTTTGTATATGACAAATGCAAGAGCTGAGAAGCACATAGTTCCATCATGGCCCGTGAGCATGAGCTGTCTAGAAAGTGAGGAACACCAGACTACGCAATGCAAAGTAAACTAAAAAGGATTCAGTTTGGTTTTTTAACTGCATTACATTGTCGGGGTGTTTATGTCCATCGTACATATGCAGAGTGTTTCATATCAAGCAGGTAAAACCTTGTTCTATTCCCACCACATGGGACAGATAAAGTTTTCCTGGTAATACTTGCTTCTAATTTTCCTCTTTTTCTTCCCCACTTTCTCTAGCATATGGTCAAGTACAGATACCTGCCATTCACACATGGCAAGCGGACATACAAAGGCAAGGACGAAACAGGGAAAACGTTTGCCAGTTAGAATCTCCCCCTTTCCCCTCCTCATTTTAAATTTATCGGTCACAGTTAATGGGGAGAGACAAGGGTTAGGGTTGATTTACCTTTTTTCTAAGTGGGACATTAACATGAAAATATGACATGAAAAATAAAAATGTTGATCCAGATGAGGATATGACCAGCATGGATCAGATTAGTCTGGGAACATTGCCTTTGTCTATTTAGGGGTTGTTGTTTTTTTTTCTTCTTCTTGAGGACCCGATCCTCATTTTAGGATTGGTCTGCTATTGTTCAGTAGTAGGTGACACTCAGTGCTGCCTTTTTGCCTTTTTAACCCAATGGGGTAAGTATAAAGTCACCAAGGAGAAACTACACTGAAAAAAAAATGCCGTAAAATTTGGGTTTTTTCTTTTTTTTCAATGATTGGTATTCCATCACGTCTTCTTCTCCCAAGTGAAATACATCTGCCAACTTTTGATTAATATATTGGTACCTACTTATTTGTAACAAGTTATATTAAAAGGCCGTAGTGTTATGAACAGGACATGATTAAATGTGTAAGCTGAAAGAAACTCATCTTTTGTGATAAATGAAGTGTCTCAGCCAGTCCTCTGTACTACGTGCAGACACTTTGGAAAATTAGTCACATTTTACTTGAATATGCATTCATGACAGGAAGAAAAACACAATCCATCTTTTGAAATGATTAGCCTACACCCAATGCAAATCTTTTTAGATTCCTGTTTCTCTTGAATTGGCTTCTAACCCAACCTTTGTTACCTGATTCTCACTAGCACAGCCAGTGCAGCAAGCGCCATTACGGATGATTAACAGGGACTTGACTTAAATCTTGAGCCACCCACCACATTGTTGAATGCGTTACTCATAGTGACCCATTTAGTCTCCTAAAGACCGTGCCTGTGTTCTACATGAAATCAGTTGTACATTAGCGCCTTTGTAGAAATGAGTTACTATTTCATGAACCAGATTGCTTCACATCAATATTTAAGGACGCATCTATGCGTTTGAAATTGTTTTCCACCAGATCTTATGTCCATTGTTGTCCAAAATATAATTTTATTTTCAAATTGCACAGCCAGTATTCAAGTCTCTATCCATAACGAGGTCCAATCTGAACTAATAGTCAAGCAGTTATACATCTATCTCAAAGACCTTTTCTCTTCGAAACATTTACCTATCTGGGTTTTAGAGCCTGGGATCCGTTCAATTTATGTAGACTAGCTGTTTTAGTACTTTAAAATCTATGTTTACTTTGAAAAACATTATGGTAAATAGTCATTCCAAGCAAACGTCTGTTCTCTTTCTTTTGCAGAGGAAACATAAGAACACAGAGATTGAGAACTTTTATTATAACAAATGGATGAAGTGGGTGGCGATCACTTTTCTATGAACCTGTTGATTTGTTTTTCTCCATTTTTATCAGAATGCTGGGGATTATCTGTCATTAAACTTTGATCAGCACTGTAGTAAGGGATCAAAACATTTTCCTGTAAAAAGTTTGTTTCAAAGGGTCGTCTGTAGGATTTGTGTGTGTGTGTGTGTGTGTGTATATATATATATAAATATATTTGAAAATATGATTACCCTTTTTTTTTTAGATTATTTTTATTTTAGTTTTTTCTTTCAACCATCATACTGTTTCAAAGTGTTTAAATCCATTTCCTTTGATTGATGCAAGCAGAACTGGTAATTTGGGTTCTATATTGGATTGATTAAATATGTTTCTCATAGACTGCATGTTATCGTTTTCCTGTGCTACAGTTATAAACAAACTTGATTTTAACAACTTCAGTGTAATTTTTTTTTCACTCCAAATGCTATTAAACAGGCTGTGTCCCTTCAAAATGTACATAGTTGTCTTTGCCTCATAATTTGCAGACGTTAATGGAGTTAAAGGTCAAACAACAAAGGTGCTTGAACTTTTACATAAGTGAAAATCTTTGACACATTATAAACATCCCTCTAAATGATATGTGTGCAAGTTAATATTGCATGTTCGGCTTCACTGAGGTGTGTGTGTGTGTGTGGGGGGGGGGGGTTCTAAATTCTGTGCAATCCATTTCTTTATATACCACAGGTGATGGGACTCCTATTGATGTTTAGAAACATAAAAGAAGAAAAAAACGGAAAGCTAATTTTCACGTTTCATAGCGAATGTTCCCGAATACTTGAGGACAACATGATTTTTTTAGTTTTCATGAATGTGCAAAATATTAACTAGCAGAAAATAAGTGTGTAATGTAAGAAAAGGTGAATGCACTGTACCACAGAGACGGTCGGGACAGCTCGAAAGTTTTTTGCAAACTGATTTGTGTATTATTCTGCATTTGGTATTTTTGAAATGCGCTCCTATTTCATGTTTCACATCGGAATGGTGAACGGTAGCTTCACCAGCACAATGAAACCCTTCTTTATTTCTCTGCTTCTCCTGGAGTCTTTTCTACATGAATCGGCTCAATGCACCGTCCAAGGCTCAGAGTTTCACCTGGAAGGAGATTATTTGTTGGCTGGACTTTTCGACATTCACCATGATAGTTCTCCTGTTGTACAAGACCGACCAGAAGCCATCGACTGCTCCAGGTGAGTCGTACAAAGTCTGAGTGAAAATTTAGGGTTGAAAATAATAAAAGCCTCATGTTAACACAGATCAAACATTTCCATAAGCTTCAGGTCAGGGGATATAGCTCGTAACATTTACAGGTTTAATGAGCCTTTCGCAGTTTCACTTGGATGTGTATGGCTTGAAGATCAGGGATCTAATCACCCCTCCAGGTTGTGACAATCGCAATGACTAATTCTCCCATTCTCTTACTTTCCTTCCTCTATCTGCAGTAAACCCTTCATTCTTTCAAGTTATCGGAGGTTTCAGTTGATGAGATTCTCTGAAATGTGTCTCTCGGATATGAGATATTTGACCACAGCTCAGATATACACAGTTTTCCAGGCATCTTGAAACTTCTCTCAGTTGATGGCTTGATCCAACCTTGGGCTGAACCACCCAAGAATCTGTCCAAAGTCATGGCTGTGGTCGGCACTTATACGAGCACTCAGGCACTGACTGTCGCCCCGCTGTTCATGATGGATCTCATTCCGATGGTAAATCATCCAAATACATTCAGTGATACCAACATGTTATCATACATTTAACAAAATGCAAACAGTTTCTAAATGTATCACTAAAATAATGACTATTTATTACTCTTAAAGTATATATACTAGAATCTATGAATTGTAAAGTGAGTTTTAATGTTACATTTGAGAATTTGTCACTGTACATTATTATTTTTTGACAGGTGAGTTACGGAGCTGCAAGTTCGGTATTTTCAAGGAAACAGAATTTCCCCTCTTTCCTACGAACAGTTCATCCCAATAAAGACGTCATAGAAGTGATTTTTCATATTATGCAACACTTCAACTAGAGCTGGGTCGCATTTCTTCACATTGATGATGATTATGGAAACGATGGCCGGGAATTGTTCATAGAGAAAATTGATGGCACTGAGATGTGAATGGGATACACCAAAGGCCTTGATCAACATACCAATTATCCCCAAATATTCAGACAGATAGAGGCACAGAAAATAACTACTATTATTGTTTTTGCTCCTGAATGGACTGCTGAAGCTCTCATTAAATCAGCAATACAACAGAACGTCACCAACAAGGTGTGGATAGCAGGAGATGCATGGTCCTTAAACAAGGAGCTCCCCAAAGAGAAAGGAATACAAAATATTGGGACGATACTTGGGGTCTCTGAACCAAAAGTTACAATACCTGGTTTCAGTGATTTTATCCATCATTCCAAAGGCCAGACTCACTGTGAAAATGCAGAACAAAGTATGTTTTGCAATCAGGTTTGCAACTCCAGCAGCCTGAAACCAGAAGAAATCCTCAATGTGGATCCATCTTTTAATTTTCCTGTTTATGCTGCTGTACATGCCATCGCCCATGCCTTACACAATACCTTGCAATGTGACTCAGGCAGATGTAACAGGAGTATTACAGCGTACCCATATATGGTGAGTATAAACATAATATGATCAATTAGTCGCTTACTCTGTTTGATGTAAATGTATTTTACGTGTCTCTTTTAAAACATCACCTCATCCAGAGTGTTATAAACAAAAGGTTCTCTAAACTTGTGTGTCCACATCAGGTTCTAGCAGAGCTGAAGAAGTCAAACTTTACACTTTTAAATCAAAGTGTCACATTTGATGAGAATGGTGATCCCAACTACGGGATCCTATTCTATAGTTTTCTGGAACCAAAGCGGTGACGCACAGGAGATTGGCTTTCATAACTTTTACCCAAACTTGTATTTCTTCATCGACAACAGCAAAATTAAGTGGAAGACAAAGGAAGTAAGTTGTTTTTCTCCACAAAAATACTTTATACTGTTTTATTTTCCAGCTTCTGCAGGGATGTGTGTGTGGATCAGTGTGCATGTGCACATTTATTTAGTAATAATGCTGAACATTAACCAACAGTGGTTTGTGCATGGAGTCGTTTGCAGGGGGATCCAGATGTTGTGTTTAATGTTGATCGCATGTGACAAACCCCTTTAAGAATTAGAAATGCATCATGGGCCAACACTGTAATTTGCCTGCACCCCTTACTGTGTAACATTGCACTCGTCCTCACTCGGGTTGTAAAGAATTGTCTTGTACAGGTGCCTACTTCACGGTGTTCCCAAGAATGTGATGAAGGATCCAAAAAAATGCCAGATGGAATCCAAAGATGCTGTTTCAAATGTGAAATCTGTCCAAAGGGCACTTATTTCAACAAAACAGGCAAATTTATTTCTGACTTTCAAACTTGTTTATAAATAACTGTGATTTCAGACAGAAGCAACATGTGAGCACCGTGTCATTCATTCCATGCCGACTACACTAAAGAAAAAACGTAAAAGGAGGTCAAATGACTGGCAGCAGCGGCTGCCAAACAAAAGAGGTGAAATTAAGGTAAAATAACTTAATTAAAATGAAGTGCGAAAACCATAAATGTACAGGAATTTTCCTTAACAATTTTACAGAGGGAAAGAAAGGCTGCAGCAAAACTGAGGGTCAGGAGTTTCATGCCTTTAGCTGAACATCAAACATTTGCAGAACAGATCTCTGAGCTACCACTCAGAGATTGGTGGCCTCGAGGCACAACCGGTTGGAGGTGCTCGGATGTCCACACAGACCCTCAGCATTCAGTCTACAATCAAGACTTTTGCTGTTGGCTAGAGTTTTGCTCTTACAGTACAACAAATTAAATGTGAAAAAAGATTCCTGAACTGGTCTTTCAGCCACAGAGGACTAAGCAAAAGTGACCTTGACTTGAATTGCAATCTGTCCTTCTCTCTTGTTTAACAGGGGATCCATACAAGTGCATCAACTGTAAGGACAGATTCGTAGATCGCCAGATCTGCAGGGGGGCCAATGTGCCTCCTCATTTTTGGCTGCTTGTGTCTGTCTAATGTCAGTGTGTTCTTTTACTTTGGTAAGCTCACCGCTTCCTCTCGTGTCATGAGGCTCTTACCATTTCGCTTGTTTTGCACCGTTAGCATGTTTTGTGGTGCGATCTTTTCAAATTGTTTTCATTTTCAAAATGGCTGCCAAGTTCCCAAAGCTCCACAGTGTGTGGATAAAGTATCATGGACAGTGGCTGTTCATCACACTGACATTTGTTACTCAGGCACTCTTACTTGTTTTTGGCAATGAAACCTCTTGGTACCCAGACAAAACCATCATTGTTTGTGGGATGAGTAACGAAGCATACGTCGGTCCTGTGGTTTTACTTGTGTCTCTGTGCTTCCTTTGCTTTATTTTCTCATACATGGGCAAAGACCTTCCTAAAAATTACAATGAAGCCAAAGCAATAACCTTTTGCCTGCTCCTGCTGATCCTCACATGGATCATCTTTGCCACTGTGTTCTTACTTTACAGGAGCAAGGACATCCAGACACTTAACGCCCTGGCAATACTCTCAAGTCTCTACTCCTTTCTGTTGTGGTATTTCATGCCAAAATGCTACATCATCATTTTCCAATCCCACAGAAACACGCAAGAGTATTTCCAAGGTCTCATTGAGAAGTATACCAAAACATTCTACTAGTAGATATGTGTCTGGTTTATAGAGGACAAGACATCTGGTTCAGGACTTTCATTTAATTCTATTTTTTTTTTTTGTAGAAATGTGCAGTTGTTTAAATACATTCCTCTTTTGTCGCACTGTAATTAGGTTGATTCTTTATTTGATGTTTTGCTCA